GAGGGAGGCAGACGCCATGAATGCGGGGGGAAGGTGGGAAATAAATCCCCCACTCCCGGAGGCGAGACGACCCACCCAAAGCAAAAAATCCCCACTCCCTCCAACTCATCATATTCCGATCCAGAGCGTGGAGAGGGCGACATTGGCGACCATGGCCGATTGGCGGATGAAGATGGAGCGGGCGATGGTGGAGCTCGCGAGCGGAGACGAAGCAAAAAGCTGGAGAGGGCAAGAGAGGTGGTGTCCTGGTTCGCCACCAGGAAGGAAATGCGGAGGGCGGCCAAGAAAGTATTTAAGAATTTGACGGTGGAGGAGGACGAGCGGCTCACCCCGAATGGGATGACCACTCCGACTGGTGTGCCGGTGAGTTCGTTGGCAGCGCTGGTGTGGGCTATGGAGGAGACAGAGGGAGGAAATCAAGAGCAGAGGAGGAAGTGGTGGGCGTTCAGATCTCGACGCCGCTTCCCCGCTGGCCCGGAGGAATTCGTGGTGGGAGCTTTGATGGCCATACCCACTCCAGGGACTCACTGGGTGCCCATCCAGATCGAGGACAGCGGGACAGAAACAGAGGAGGAGCTGCCAGATCTAGGAGAGGGGACGAGCCAGATGGTGGAAGAGAAAGGAGAGGGGAAGAAGACGAAGGAGAAGAACTTGGCCCCGCGCAGATCTCCACGCTTCCTGCGTTGCTCGCCACGTCTTTAGGAGGCGGCCAAGTTCGCGGCGGAGGGCTAGGCTTATATCGTTTCTATATAATGTCCGATCTTGGTGCTTCTCTTTTTAGACGATGAGAGGATGGACAGGACCAATGTGTTTTTACAGGCTGGTTGCTGCCAATTAATTTGAGAAATCATTAACCCAACTAAAATTGTGAATGAAATCCAAAATTAAAATATCCAAACTAAATGAGAAAGCTCGTTGAGAAATAGTTAACCCAGTCAAAATCGTGAACCAAATTCAAAATAGAACACTAATCAAACGAGAAGGCCTAAAATTAGGAAGCATAATGAATTAGATATGTGATCAAAGTATATACGATTGTTGAGCACCTTATTAGACGAGCATTTGGACGAGATGTGTGTATCACTATTCACCACCGTATGTGAACTTTGATGCATGCATGGCTTATCATAGCGGGACGGTACGTAGGTGTACGGCTACAGCAAGTGATCACACACACTCATGATTGCGAACCGTAATTCTCCGTTCAGCTCACGGCGTTCTTGGCGCATCTTTTATTTCCCTTAAAGCATTTACAACCGAACTTCTTAAATTGACTGAACGAACATAGGAACCACTGATCGAACAGGAGAGAAAAGTAAAAAATAGTAAAAAGTTGACCCAACGGGACCCGTCTCTCATATCTTTCCTATATATTCAGACTGTCCGCGAACCATCATATCCGTCTTAAATATGGAGAGGATATGAGGGTTCGTGCACAGAGCCGGGCGCGCCTGGTCAATCCACCACGTAGGACACGGTCCCACCCCGGATCACCTTTTCTCTTTCTTTCTTTTTTGTGAAAAACTTTCGATCTATTCATCTTCAATCATGGCAGTACAACGAACACCAAAAATAATAAAAATTACATCCAGGTCCGTAGACCACCTAACGACGACTACAAGCACTGAAGCAAGCCGAAGGCGCGCCGCTGTCATCGTCCCTCCCTCGCCGGAGTCGAGCACAACTTGTTGTAGTAGATAGTCGGGAAGTCATTGTGCTAAGGCCCCATAGGACCAGCGCACCAAAACAGCAACCGCCGCCGATGAAGGATAACGTAGATCGAAACGATCCAATCCGACGACACACGAACATGGACGAAAAACAACCAAATCCGAGCAAATCCACCGAGGATAGATCCGCCGGAGACACACCACCACACGCCCACCAATGATGCTAGACGCACCATTGGAACGGGGGCTAGACGGGAGACCTTTATTCCATTTTCAGAGAGCCACCGCCGTCTCGTCTTTCTGAGCAGGACACAAACCCTAACAAATCTGAAAGAAACGACTAACAACGAAGCCCTCCTGCCGGCCCTTGCCAGGATCCACCTCGCCTCTATGGCCCTAGGACCACCGGAGACGAGGCAAACCTGCGGCGGAGCCGGCGAGAGGTACAAACCCTAGCTTTTTTGGTGGAGGAGGCAGCTGCGTTGGCCTTGGCTTTGTGACTCCTTTTGCCTGTACATATTTCTTCTTTTCACCTTTTCTCTTTCTTTATTCCTTCTTTTCTATATTTTTTTCATCTCCATCAATCACGTGCAAGTGACCGAACATATGAGGAAGAAAATGAGTAGCTGCGCGGATGAATAAATAGGGTCTTAAAACGAACACACCAGATCACTGACCGGATGTATCCACGGACGTTGGAGGGGTCGAATTAGAGATACGTGGATGAAGATGCTCGACGCACCGGCCGGGCAGTCAAAGATGCTAGTCCTGCAGGTGCAAGGCACGAAAAATGTGGAGGAGAGAGCGTCTGATTCATTCCTCGATGCTTCTCTTTGGTGCTAGAGCAAAGGGCACCGACACGCATCTCCTCCATTCGCCGAGACCAGCAGTGTCGTACGTCCGGAGCTACGGTACGGGCAGGGAGGGAGGCACCCCCGGGGCAGAGGAGTCGTTGCGCTGGTCATGCACTCCCTCCCTGTGTGGCTAAAGAAAAGAAGATGTAGTAGGAGTACTACTCCATTTCTCTGGGCCGTTGGAATTCAGATGATTACTCCTCGATCCATGCTCTGAATTCAGACATCGATGTGGGTAACAACTTTTTTTAACGTGCGATACAAGTTTGGGCTGGGAATCTTGGATCGGCCGGTAAAGAAGTACGGGTAAAATGAAGTAAATGGAGACGATCAGACCAACACGGGTGTGCACAAGGCCCAGTCAAAAGCCCCAAAAAGAAGTCTGGCTCAAGAAGGTTGTGCATGGTGAAGAAGTCAAGATGAACCCCTCAAGGACCCTATCTTGATGTGCATCCACATGAACAAATAGAATGGCTAAAGATAGTAAACTTTGCACCGACTGGCCCTGGTTTTGCTCTCAGCCGTGCTCACAAGTTGTTATCCCCGGCATGAGGAGAAGAACCTACTAGCTACCATATGAAAAACCAGCACCAATCTCTCTCCCAAGTTTCAAGCCAATCTTCCAGTTTCATCATCGCCGGCACCATCTTTTTCGGAGTTCTCTCCCCGTCGCCTCACCGGTAACATCTTATCATCTCTTGCAAATCGTCCACATGCATTTCGAATTACCATGATCATAGCTTCATCCTTGTGAATTCTCTGGTCCATCCAGGTAGTTATCAAAGAGGGAAGGCATGCAAGGCCCTCCTGGTCTGCCTCCTCCGGCCCCATTCTACCCCGGCGGATACCCTCCTCCGCCGGGCTGGCCTGGTTACCCTATGCCATTTGTTCCGGTGCAAGGGTACGGAGCTCCACCTGGTGCGTATCCTCAACCCGGAGGATACCCTCCGGCCGGGTATCCACAACAACATGGCCATGCGCAGCCCGCTGGCTATGCCGTCCATGATAAATCGAAGAAGAAGTCTTCAAAGAAAGGTATTTTTCACATCTTTCGCATTCCCCATGTCATTGCTTGTCATGGTTACCTTGCTAGGAAGGGCCGGAATGCAAAACCTTATTTTGGGACATACATAAGACACGTATTGAAATACCATGTATGCAGGAAAAAAAGGTAAGGGTGGTGGCTTCGGCTCATTCCTCGCCGGTGCCGCTAGCGGTGCAGTTACGGTACTTGGAGCTGTATTGGCTGAAGATGAAGAACAGTCTTCTGGCAAGTTCAAATGGAAGTGATAAACCAAGAAAAAGAATGCAATTACCATTTTCTCTTTCGGTCGGTTCAGCAAAAAATTACTTATATGCTTCTAAGAAAAAAATGCAATTACCATCATAATGCCGGTTATTTCTCTCTTATGGATTTGTAGTACAATATGATCTATCGGAGATTTGTTCAGCACATAAGACAAAGATTAAATGCTCGAATCTATATACATGCATCAATAGAAGGACAGAAAGGCGGCTAAATATATGTTTTGCATGCCTGCAGTTACTGCTATGTAAAATTCTTCAATGATTTTTTCGATGGAAAATATGTTTTGCTGCCCGCGCACCATCTTGTTGTAATTACCGGCATGCTCACGCCTCTCCGTCATTGGATTCACATCGTGCAGATAGTGGCTGTTTGTGAGGGACCACACTCGACTTCTCGTTGTGCGAAGGCGAGGGAAAATGCGAACATGTGTCGAAATCAACAAACGTGCTTTCCTTATCCAAAATATGTGCTTCAATGGGAGGGCCGCGATTAGTGTACGTGAGTACACCACGAATTGATGAATTGGTCGTAATGGACGTCACTTTGTCACCACCCAAAATTGTTCGAGTGGTGTTGGGGAGAGAGAGGTTAGTAAAATTGTACGTATTTGTGCACGCATATCGAAGGATTTAGCTTTTGATAGTGTTGTTTCCCCTCATTTCCACATGTGTGCCCGCTCGAACTCTACGGTTCCCTTCAGGTTGTAACACTAACACTTGTAGACCTATCATCTCGGAGAGAAGGCAGGGTGGTGGCAGAGAGGGGGGGGGGGATGTCGGTGGGGGGCGAGCCTCGGAGTCACCTATCGGGGCGACATATAAGGGACTCTTGTTTTTCCGGTTGTTCTAGTTGGCCAGGAGAACTTATCCCTAGATTGAGGCGGCCAACAACGTCAAGGATATTCCGTCGGGCATCATGGAATTCGGTCCTATCTATGCATAGAGGTATCATGGTTCCCTACCCCTCACATGACACATAAGAGATAGGTGGGGGGCATGGATGGGTTCAACGTGGCCGGTTGTGGATGGTGGGGAACGGAGGCTCGTCGTAATCGCCTCTGAGGGCAGTTTTTTGACAGATAGAGTTGCTTGGCCCAACCGAGAAACCTCTATATGGGGTGAAAGATTTATTTTTGATCTAGGTAAAATCCAAGTGTAATAAACAGATACTCCTTGATGAAATTTGAAAAATACAGATACGAATGGTGAGCTTCAAGTATGAGACAAGACAGCGGAGGATGATAAGCAGTGCACCATCCAACACGAATACTCGTGTGAATCGGTTGGAACGATTTCTCTGTACTGTCATGATGTTTGATGAATATATCAGATTTAAAAAAAAAGATAATTGAAATGATTTGTCCGCAAAATAAATCTTCAGAACAAGGGCCGGAAATTAAAGAATAACGATGAGCTGGTGCTCTGCTCCCTGCATATAGCCCCCCTGCTCCTGCTGCTACCTCTGCGGTTCGTTTCAGAAGTACAGTTTCAGGCTTGGCCCCGAAGGAACAAGAACTCGACAAGATCAAGAGGAAAGCAGCCGCGTCCGCGTTCGACCAAGCGTAGCAAACGTGCAACACAAGGTAAAAATCAATCAAACCTGTCTACGACACCCGCAATGCTTCTCCTCCTGCCGCGAATCTCTTCTTGATGGTACCGTCACCGCCGCCACTGACCGGCGTGCGCTTCCATTGCATGCTCGGCCGCTCCAGGAGAAGAGGAGATGGGCCGCGGGAGGGTGGAGATCAGGCGGATCGCCAACGACGTCTCGCGGCGGGCCACCTTCGGCAAGCGCAGCGCCGGGCTGCTCAAGAAGGCGCGGGAGCTCGCCGTGCTCTGCGACGTCGACCTCGGCGTCCTCGTCTTCGACGGCGCCGGCAGCGGCAGGCACGCCCACTACTGCAGCCCCAACACCAGGTTCGCCCGTCCGTTCCTTCCTCCATCTTCTCAGCCCAGTCTCATGGCTCCACCGTCTCGGTTCATTCCGGATTGCTCTGTCACTCAAGCCTAGTACTCTGGATTTGGTTCTGCGATGCTCTGTCTAGCTTGGTGCCCCCTCTGCCGTGTTTACTATCGGATTGCTCTCTTCTTAATACTAGTACAAGTTTATATGTGTGTGGTGCACCGGTGATTCATTCTCGACAAGCGAGATTCTGCATTCTCTTCAGATTAACTTACTCAAGTCACTTGAAAACCTTAAGAGTTATCCAATGCCAACCGATCTGCTTTGCAGACGTCATTGATTTGTCATTTGTGTGAAAGAGAGTATGACATTAGTATTGTTAAGTATATATGTTGTGTTTGTCTTGTACAAGCCCAGGCCCATAGTCTAGAGTGAAGCCCAGGCCCATGTAACCTTGTATATATCTCTCTCCTCCTCAATACAGAAAACTGTTCGGTCATTCTCTCTTCCTCACGTTTTCTAACATGATATCAGAGCAGGACCAAATCCTAGTTCCTCTTCCAGCCGCCACCCATGAAATCGCCGCCGGTGAGGTGATTCAGGCGGATCTGTCTGGCGAGGAGACATCCACATCGCTGCCCCATCCCATCTTCGTCATCAACCCGTAGGAGCTGCTCTCCAGCAGCTCCTCTGTGTGTCCTTATAGCTACTCTGTGAGAATACTTCCCCTGCTCTCCAGCAGCCATCTCCAGCAAGCTCTTGGTGCCTTCCCTGCTCTACAGCAAGCTCCAGGCGTTCCCCTTCTATCCAGCAAGATCCAACAAGCTCCACCTTCTATCCAGTGAGATCCAGATCCAGCTTCTGTTTGTGGCTGTCTGCTGCTCTTCTCTTGTTGTTGCCTGCAGCTGCTATCAGATTGGGTGTTTCCAGCTGCTGACCGCTCACCACTATGGCAAGAAATGATTTCGGATTTGGTTCTTTGATCATAGATATCAAGCTTGATGGTTCAAACTACAGGGAATGGGCATTTTCTGCCCGGACTGTCTTGAGGACAGCTGGTTTTGTTTCTCATCTGACAGATGATCCACCTAGTCCAAATGATGATGCAACAAGGAAGTCTTGGCAAAAGATCGATGATCGTGTGATGGGAGTTTTAATTCTGGGTGTTGAACCCTCACTCCGAATGAGTCTTGAGCATCACACTTCAGCTAAAGAGATATGGAAGTACTTTGAGCAGCGCTACCTTCAGCCCAACAGTGCACTTCATTTCTCCTTGTTGCAGAATTTACACAACACTCGGCAGCCAGAAGACATGTCCATAGAAGAGTACTATGGAGCTTTCACTCGCATCACTGGGCAGCTAGGTTCCATGGTTCCAAAGGGTGATTCTGGTTGTGAGTCATGTGCAGCAAAGGAAAAGTATGACCATCAGACTCTCATGTTTCAGTTTGTGATGGGTCTCAAGCCAGACTTTGAGAATATTCGCACTCAATTGCTTGGTCGTACGACTCCTCCCACCTTGACAGAGGCACTTGCTAGCTTGATCGCTGAGGAGACTCGTCTCCGTTCTCTTGGGGCTACTTCTGCGCAGACTCTACACACTAGTGTTCTGGCTTTTCCTCAACGGCCAGGTGCCTCCAAGGCCACACCTTCAACTGTTGTCTGCTCGTTTTGCAAGAAGGCAGGACACCACAGAGATGGTTGTTTCAAGCTTCATCCAGAGTTGTTAGCTGAGTTTCAGGCTAGACGGGCCCTCAATCAGCAGTGTCATGCACCCCAGGCTCCTTATCAGCAGCAAGCTCCTTATCAGCAGCAAGCGAGGGGTGCTTCTACATCTGTTCTCTCTCAGCCCGCTGTTGCTGCAACCTGGCCTTGGGTTTTGGACTCTGGAGCTTCTTTCCATGTGACCTCTGATCACTCTCAGCTTGTGTCTTGCCAGCCAGTGCGGGATGGTGCCTCTGTTCAGACTGCTGATGGTACACCTTGTTCTATTACTCATCAGGGTTCTCTTTGCACATCCAAGTTTTCTGTTCCTGCCATCTCCTTTGCTCCAGAGCTGTCCATGAATCTTATGTCTGTTGGCCAGCTTGCTGATATGAACTACTTTGTTGGTTTTGATGACTCATTTTGTTATGTGCAGGACCGTCAGAGCAAGAGGGTCATTGGAACTGGCCATCTCCGTAGAGGATCCACATCCCTCTACATCCTTGACACCTTACACCTTCCTTCAGCTTCCACCACATCCGCGTTCCAGATGGCTGCATCAACATCAAGATCCACTTCGTCGTTTTCTTTTGCCCAGTGGCACCATCGCTTAGGTCACTTGTGTGGTTCTCGTTTATCTACCCTTGTTCGACAAGGTGTTTTGGGTCATGTTTCCATAGATGCTGGTTTTCACTGTAAGGGTTGTAAGCTAGGGAAACAAATACAGCTTCCATACTCTTCCAACACTACTCATTCTAGTCATCCTTTTGATTTAGTGCACTCTGATGTATGGGGTCCTTCCCCCTTTGTTTCGAAAGGTAGCCACAAACATTATGTCATATTTGTTGATGATCACTCTCGACATACTTGGGTCTATTTTATGAAGCATCGTTCTGAGTTGTTTTCTATATATAAGGCTTTTGTACATATGGTCCATACTCAGTTTTCCAGTGTTGTTCGTGTTTTTCGTTCTGACTCCGAGGGGAGTATCTATCTACTGCTTTTTGTGAGTTTCTCTCATCTAAGGGTACTCTCCCTTAGCTTTCATGCCATGGTGCCCATGCTCAGAATGGCGTTGCTGAGCGTAAGCATCGCCATATTGTTGAGACAGCTCGTACCCTTCTAATTTCTTCCTTTGTCCCCACTCATTTTTGGGGTGAAGCTATCTCAACTGCTGTTTATCTTATCAATCTCCAACCTTCTACTCGCCTTGAAGGCAAGTGTCCTGGTGAGGTTTTGTTTGGTTCTCCTCCCACGTATGACCACCTCCGTGTCTTTGGTTGTACTTATTATGTTCTTTTAGCACCTCGTGAGCGTACCAAGTTGACTGCTCAGTCTGCTCAGTGTGTCTTCCTTGGATATAGTCTTGAACATA